TTGAGTCCTTTTCTGAAAAAAGATGAAGTTTTGTGCTTCTTACAATTTGACACAAATTCAGTATTATCTAAAGTACAATGAAAAGTGATATAAGTCATTGCTCTGAGTGTCCAAGGTCAAGAGACAGAAAAACAATAAACATTTGTCATGCTTGCAAGAAACTTCTCTGTGCAATGTATACGACAACAGTAAAATATTGTTCTAATAGTTGTTCTCAGAAACTGCAATTTGATCATTTATACTGGTAATATTGAATTTTTTAATACTGATGCTGGTAATACTTACATTTTACATGCTTTTATACATAAAATGAATGGTTTCCAAATTTTAAACGCTGTCTAAAATAGTTGATATATCACATATAATATTTTTTCTAATTTAATAAATAATTTTTAAATAAAATCAATTAAAAGAAATCTGAAACGGTCGCCGAAAGGGTTTGTTAAGGATTTTTACACCCTCACTGAGTTTGCAGTCTGCTGTTACAGCCACTCCTTTTTCCCGTTTTTCATTTTTTAGCTTTATCATTAAGCATAATTTTCTTTGCACTTCTGCCATATACAACTCAACGGCAAAATTGCAAAAATTTTAAAACAGACATAGCAGTATACATTTAGAATTCCCCCAATGCAGAACTTAAGTGTTTGTATACATTTTTCTGGTTTTTTTTTTTTTTTTTTTTTTTTCCTCCAGTCTTTATTTTTGTTATCATATCAATGTTCAATTTTTTTACTAAGATGGCTTTACAAAACTTTTTTTTGTCTCATTATTAACGTTTCGTGTGTTTACTTTATTTATTTAACATTAAAAAAAATTCTTGGAGTTTAGCCACATTAAATCTGAATCAACAGCAAAATCACAAAATATTTTAAACGCAAATCTTAGATTTTCAAAACCAGTTAACCTGCGGGAGATAAAATGTTTTTTCTGTGCAGTGTTGCCACTTCTTGTTGAATCGTAAGTTTGTAATAAAAAATCTAAGTGTTACAAATATGAAAAAAATAAAACAAATTCAAAATTTGGACTCCAGTTCCCAGTCAGGTGGAGAACTACATTCAAAATTTGAATGCTCTAGGTACCCTGTTTCTCACAATGCGAGAAACATGCACAAATACATGCAGATTTTCAATTATTTAATTTCATTGAATACAATACAGGGCGATAATATTTGGTGGCAACAATCTGAAAACTGATATAATGCATTAAGTCTTTTAACTCAAAATGACGTTTTGAAACTAATATTTCATTCGGAACTAACATCCCCTCTGGGCTAAAAATAATTTGGAACTTTTAATCCTTTTCATATTTTAAAACTAAAATAAAATAAATTTTCCATTTAATAACTTTATATGTTTTTATTTCTTATAATTATGCTTACTTATATTTTGGTTGTGCTGGTACCCCACCTCACTAAAACAGTAAGAAAAATATCTGACCTAACACATGATTTTATCTCTTACTTTTGTTATTTAATCTACAGACTTTCTCTTAAAATCCACAAGTATTTATGCCATATTTTCAGCTGAAAATAATTTCTCACAATCCTTAAAATATATACACACAAAGAGACACACATAGAGAGAGAGTTAATTAAAGACACAGATTTGATCTTAATTATTCATCTGTTTAATATATATAATTCAAATCATCCTTTCTTTTTTAATTCTGAAAAAACAACTGTTAGGAATTTCAGTAAGTCACTGCCAAAAGATATTATTCAGATCACATGTAGTAGTAACAGAAAGGCAGATTTATTTTCCTAATATGCATAGCAAGAATCTGTACTAGCAAAACTACACTACTAGTAAAGAATTTGCAAGTCAATGAAATAAACAATCAATATGAGTTTTTCCCCTTAAACAATGTGTATCTATTTTTATTCATAATAAATTTAAAAGTTAATATATCATTATAATAGCAATATCTATATAGCATAACATTCGACATAAAAATTATCACTATGATTTAAAACAGTTCTTTTTACATGAACTTTTTGTGTCATTTTATGTAAGCAAAGTAATAAATATTTATTTAAATATTTAGTCAATATAGCATTATCTTATAAAGCAAAATATATGAGAAACTACAAAAAATAAACACTTTACAAAACAAACCTAGAATAATGAACTGTTGGTGGGGGCTTTGATCTATGGAGATTCGAGATACTATTAATCCAAGCATCAATTTCTTTAGGACGCTTATCAGCATTTTCTAAAGTTTTCACTGTCTGTAAGTGAAGAAATAAAACCAGTTAAGAAACTAATTACTCTCTGATCCAGGAAATGAAATTTAATCTTTTAATAGACTATTTTGAGGATGCTAATACCAATATCACTATAATTATGAAAATGTTAAGGTGGATTTCATGTTGTAAAAACACTTAGATTATAAAATCATTACTGGTAGAAAGAATATAAAAACTTTTAAAAGGAAATTTTTTTTAAAAATTGAACCTTCTGAAATATTTGCCACATGCTCACTATTATTCTGATAGAAGTAGTGATCACTTGTGCTTGGAAAGCAAAATAAACCTAGGAAAATAAAATTGCTTTGCATGGAAATCGAATTTTGGCTAAAGTAAAGAAAAGTGCAGTCACTTTTAATTCCTGGCAGATAGAAGGAAATTAAAGAATCATTATTATTAAAAAAGATAAATAATTTGAATATATAAATTGATAAATTATATAATTTAAAAAACTTAAATTCATTTCTTCTCCATTTATTATCTATGTACTCAGACAATGCTGCATATCAGTTTGTGAAATTTTCATAAAAACTCTTAGAAATATCTTAGCATAATTTTATCATTTTCACTCACAATATCAAGAGAAATTAGCAAAAAATATATATAACAAATAAAATAGCAAAATAAGATACAGGCTTATTTAACTTAAAAACTAAGATCTATTTATCTGTAAATATAATTACCTATTATTAATTTTTGATTTTCATCAAAGTGCAATTAAATCAAATTCTTTTCTGATACAAATGTCTAAGTGATTTACATATTTATACTTTAAATAATAGTAGGATAATAATACATATATAATATTAAAATTAAAATGTGTTACTTAAAAAAATTATTTTAAGTATCTTAAATTACAATTTTTTAAATGCAAACAAAAGATAAAATACAAAAATGTTCAGAACTGAATGTAAAATATAGATAAATTGTATCAGTCAAAAGTCGTAATCCGGACTCGTCGGGACTCGGCGTTCCGGATTATCGATTTTCCGGATATAGATCATCAGTTTAATCTGGTAAGTGGCATGCAGAAATATAAATTAAAAATATGAAACCTAATTATAAAATAATGAGCAATTATGATCTAACGGGTATCCAAATTACCGAAAAAAGCTAATATTTGTTTACTTATTAACATTTCTTTTAACGCGCGATGCGTAAAGCATACCTACTCATGCCGAATTAGAATTGCAACCGAAAATATGATTGTATTCGATATTTATTGACGAGGAATTGATTAATCATATCAAAGCGGAGACATCGAAATTAAATATACATTAGTAGGAATTATAAGCGACTAAAATAAAAACATCTGCCCTGAAGATAACGATAGTGTTGACGATCAACTCAGTCATGCGCGCCGCGACGTGCCCCCCCCCCGCGCAGAACAGCGTGAAATTGAAAAACAGATTTCGGACGGTAGATAAACAAGGTATGCTTTTATCATTTTTTGTGCAATTCGTTTTGTTTGTGGACATCGAAAATACTCGTTTTCTAGATCCTGGGAGCTCCAGCATCGAAATTCTATTTGACATAATCGAAAGTTCAAGCGTACTTTTAGAAAATTGCTCTTACAGTGAAAAATATAAGCCGGATCCAATTGAAGATTAAGGAACACGCAATTATCAACTAATGAAATAGATATTAATAATTTAGTTTTACCTCCGTTTACATTAAAGCGCACGCGAAAACGTATCTGCACTGAGCAGATGCATATGCGCAGCGTAAATGTCTTGGCCCGAGTAAAACGCCTATGCGCATAGTCAATGCGGGCAGCGCAGAAAGATTTTGCTTTGAGGTCCGGATATAGATCATCCGGATTACGGGTGTCCGAATTAACGACTTTTGACTGTATTACTAAAAAATGCATATCCAATGCTACTGCATTTTTTATATCATAATGAATTAAAACCATTGAGAAAAGTAACAAATTTCAAAGATAAAAAAAATTTATTGAGTTAGAAAATAGTTTCTTATGATCATGCCTTGTGTAAAATTTGTACTTCCTTGTTGAAGAGACTACTGCACTTAATAATCAAATTTGACAAACCTTATCATCTAGACCAGCAGTTTGTCTTTGTTGAAAACCTTTAGTACTACCACTCTTGAACAATCACATAAATTTATGAGTGTTAGAGAAAAAAAGATCAATCAGGATATAGGGGTTTTAATTTTTGAATTTAAAATTTAAAAATACTTTGTGTATCACCTATTTTTCTCTTGCATCAATTGCTGAGTCGAGAATACCGACTAATTTGTCAATCGAAATTTTTTCGTTTTCTAAATTGCGTCACTTCTTCACTCGAAGCGATTATAATGCGAGGACTGATTTACATCAATCAAAGCGGAGTACATCGAGAGAAATACCATTTAGTTAAGGAATATAAGCCGAATATAAGATAGTGCTGAAGATCAACTTCAGTTCATTGCGCGCCTCCCCCCCCCCCCGCAGAGAGGTGAATTGGAAACAGATTCCGAAGGTTAGAGAACAAAGGATCCATCCATTTTTGCACAATCCACTTTTGTTGATGGACATCGAAACATGCTTCACTTGTAGATCTTGGCGCTCCGATCTGAATTTTTTTTGACAACTCAAAAGTTCAAGCTTAGTTTTATAAAATTGCTCTAACAGCTTAAAAAAATAAGCCGGATCAATGAGAAGATTAAGGAACAACGCATCGCAACATTAAAGAAATAGATGATTGTAATTTTAGCTTTTGCGTTTTGCATGCGCCGAAAGTTGTAGTTGGGTCCGGATTATGGAAGTCGAATAAGAGTTTTGACTGTATACCAAGATTTAAAAATAAAATAATTTAAAACAGTTCTCTTTAATAAGAGACCGAACTTATATAAATTTTAACTGATTCAAAAGAAAGATCAGTTAAAACTTGAGAATTGGTCGCACCAACTAGAAAGGTAAATATTATAGTGCTCACATGCTTGAACTAAATTATTAAACAGTAATTTAATGCAAAAATTTTCCCTACAATAATTAAAACTCATACTATTTATGCATGTTTCATATGTATGTTTCATACTATTCATGCATACACATTAATCTTTAAAACTTTTATATTTTAACTATGACTTTTAAGGCACACAAAAAACTTACAACTGATTTAAAAGTAGTTTCTTTTGATATAGCTCGAAGCTGTAAATCCAAGACTGTTGGGTCTGACTGTTTAGCACATGGCTCATCTAATACAATTAAACCCAATTTATCAGCAATACCATCTGGTCTTGGGACCTAAAGCAATATATAGAAATTGAAAACAATTATACTATAGCAAAAGAAAAAAAATTAAATTTGCATAAACTGAGTTAAATTCAAGAATCATTTTAATTGTAGAATAAACTGAATAATTTACATTGTTTAAATTCCCCAATAATCTATTAAGAAAAGTGAAATTTTTATTAATGACATGCTGCATACACACACAAATATGCTCTGCCTTTAAGTAACCATATTGTAATTCCCCTCTCAAGGAGGCCTCTCTCCTTGTCTCGCTTGAATATGCAGCAGGAAAGATAGACCTAAACATCAATAAGGATAAGACAAAATTTATAATTGTAATAAATAAAATCATGGACCTAACCCTTTAAAGGTTAACAATTATACCTTTGAGACTGTTTAACAATTTAGATATCTGGTTACAATGATTTCAAGCTACTTTGACATTAAAATTTAAAACAGGATATCTATGGCCAATAGATGTTTTTATGTATTTAGAAACCAACTTAAATCCATATTAGTTAGCATAAAAACCAAAATAATTTTATACAAAATTTTGATAATACATGTGGCCCCTGCATGGAAGCGAATGCTGGACACTTACATCCATATGATTAAGCAACTGATATTGAAAATTTATTAGAAATCACTTATAAATGAACAGGTTTTCAAGTTCTATTACCTAGTAACAAATAAAAGAAACAGCTCAGAGAATTTTCCTTCAGAAAAATTTCCAATTAAAGATCAGTTTGTTAAATTACACTTATAATTGCTATCAAATTCACTCAAAACGTTCCAGTTTTGATTGACAATAATTAAAGAAATGATTTTCTAATGTTAGTACTATATTTCCTCACATATTTTCTTGGTATTTTTAAAACTGGAAAATTTTGAAATTTTGCATGATCTTTAATTTATTCCATGAGTTTAGGAAATTAACTTATTCACAAGAAAGTTAAATTCCTAGAATTTCTCAGTTGAACATGCTTTGCATTCATATTTCAAGGTCTTCATTCTCCTCTTCCTCAGAGATAAAACAGAAATACTGAAGTGGATGTGGATGATAAAACCTTATCCCTTGAAGGTTTGGTCTTCAGGAGATGCTGTTATGTCTTTGCACTCTGGAAAGCAAAGTAGTTGCAGCAAATGTCGAATATCATCCCAATATCTGTTTTCAATGACTAATTAAAACAGGATACTATAGACATTGGATTTACACTTAATAGTTTCATTCTTCCTTAAATTCATTAGGCCATTTAAAATTGAATTTTAAATTTTAAGCATAAGTATTTTAAGCATTTTTTAAATTTTAAGCATTTTTTAAATTTTAAGCATTTTTTAAATTTTAAGCATTTTTAAATCCAAAGCATGAGTATACACATATAATGAGAAAGTCATAAAAAAAGTACTAAAATTGTAACAAGTCATAATAATAATGCATCTAATTTATGTATGCTTTTTAATTATGTTAAGCTCTACCTTTACCCATCCCTTTAAAACTTGTACACAAAATATAATTTCCCCATGATGCTTTTCAAGCACTAAAATTAGAGAAAGAAAGAAAAAATTACATGAATAAATATAGTAATTTACATATTGCATGCATGGATCAGAATTTATAAAATTTTCATTTTACTATACGTAATAAAAACTATACTGAAACTTTCAATTTTACATGAAGCTTCAAATCTCGAGCATTTATTTGGTTATGTTTAAAAATGAAATTATATTTGATCTATCTTTTGTGATTTACTCTACTAGTTTATCACGGCATGAAAAAATCCACACTTTGGGAATCACTTTTCAAGTGATTTAATTCCGATAATTTTTTTATTTTATATTCGTTATAATGAGGAAAAAATATTTTTACAACATATATAAATTAAAAATATATAAAAAAATTGAGAACCATCATGAGCTTTTAAATAATAAATATAGCATGAATTAAAAATCTACTGAGCTTATATGCAGTGAATATATCATCACTACATAAAATATATCTATTAAATCTAACATTAAAAAGCATCAATATCGCCAACGCGGAATAAATCGGGAGAACGGTCTCAGCTAGTATCACGTCAATTTCTGAGGATAGACCTAAATGAAATTTTAAAATGCTGTGTCACATATTTTGTCCACAATTTGTTATTTCTTTAAAATTATGTGAAAAACAAACCTTGTTATATACTGGAATAATTCTTTCATTTCATTTGAAACTTGAAGATGTTCAAAGTCAGCAGGATCATATGCCCTAATAAAAATTTAATTATATAATTCTCTTACAAAATTACAACATTTTAAGGAAATAAACATTTATTAAAACAGTTGCCAATTGAATGCACTAACACTATACATATTTACAACACTGATAATTTTCACATACATAATTTTCAACAGTATACTTCCTTAATATGTTAATTAACAAAGATTTATTTAATTGAAAATAAAATACATTTCTCATGAATTCTCAACTTTTCACTGTAAACTCATATTAATACTTGTTAAATGTTTTCATATACTATAGCAAATTATTATTAAATTACTGTTGTAAAATAATGTTCATTGTAAATTACAAATCTTAATTATATAAAGGATGCTAAAAAATGCAGTATTCAACAAGTAGACAACAATTTTATCTTTACCTTCTTATATATCCTTAAAGCCATTAAAGTATACTGATAATAAGGAGATATATCACAGTGAAGCAACAGAAAGCACTTCTTATTTCCTTTTTTTTTTTTTATGGGGAAATGCTAAGAAACAATGATAATCAGCACATTAGAAGCTAATTAATCCTCACAATTTGCAAACTTTGTTCCTAATTAATGAAGCCAATGAAAACAAATCACTGGTATACGAAATGTTATGCTGTATTACTAAATCTTGTACCTTAACAAAAAAATATCAACTGACAAAATTACAATTCCTCTCCGCAATCATTTTTGAAAATTAACATATGGTTTTCAGCAACCGTGCATAATAAATAAAAAGAAGTTTTAACAAATATTAATTTACAATTTTATAAGATTACTTTCACAAATATTTATATGGGATAAATTGATTCATAACCTTCAAATAAACAAAGATAAGCAGATAACCTTAATATAAACAAATAATCTTAACATAACATATACCCTTCATAGAAACAAATGTATAATAAATTTGTGGTTTTTTACTTATTGCACAAAATCTTTCTTTGAAAAAGTTTTATTTGGATAACTAATAAAATAGTTTCATTTCCACAAATTCTGCTGTTACTTCAGTTTCAAATTATTACGATAATTATTACTTATTTTTAAATGGCAAATGCCCTGGTTTCCAAAAGTTAAGTAACAGACATAAAACTGGTGATAACTCAAAGAGTATGCAAGCAAACTGGATAATATTTATTATACCACTTATAACTTAAAAACGCACACACACACACACACAAAAACCATATATATATATATCAAGCAAGGTAGTAATTACAATACTGAATGACCAATTGGCTAGAAAATATCTTGCGCAATATGCTGCAAATAAGTAATTAGAAAATTGTAGTAAGCTCGCCAAAAGTTACCAGGAGCTGTTGCTCCAAAGTTCAACACGTTTTAAAAAATTAATACATATGAAAATCAACCATTAACATGTAAATCATTTAAAAAACAAATCAGATAAAAAAGTAAGTGGAAAATGGTAATTAGTCTAACTCGACGTTCCAACTGGCTTTTCAAGGAAATTTTATTTGTTTGACGTCGAATCAAGCTAACCCCATTACGTTTCGCCGAAAAGACAATTGAAACTTTTCGCTACAAAAATTTTTTATTTAGACAAAGTGTCTTGGAAAATTTTAATAGTTCTCAATTCTCTGTTCCAATTTCCCGACACGTCCGCACAAATGACACATTAAGGTGTTACATATGTAAAAACTATTCCGATACATCTTATCTAGACTAAAATAAAAATAAAATAAAAATCGAAATAAAAACAAAAATAAATAGCGGTCTGCTATTAGTCCTAAATATACAAAAACATACGGGCTGGGCCTGCAAGCTTAAAATATTTTCATTTTCTAATATCAATAGGAATATAAAATCTCTTAAATTCAAACATATAAATTAAATAGTAGACAATTTCTCAATAGATATGTATAACCACCCCAAACAGCAGTACAGGCCTGACAATGATGTCTGATGCTGTTTATTAAGCTTCCAATGAGCTGCATGGGTAGCAATGACCACTGATCATGTAAATCAGTTCTAAGCCCATCTAGGGTTTGATGAGGAGGCTGGAGGCCAGCAATACGCCTCCTGACAGCATCCCCCATGTTCAAGAGAAGTAAGGTCATGAGAAAATGCTGGCAACTCTATTTGGACTACAGTTTTTTCTTCAAGAAATGAACGCCGAAGTGAAGCCGGTATTACCTGCTTGCAAAATGAAAGTATAGCCAAATGTGGCAACAATCAATCAATCAATCAATTAATCAAATTATTGCTGGGATAGCGCGCGAGGCGCGCTGTTTCCAGCTCATGAGGAGTTGCCAAAAGGCACATGACTTTAAAAATTCTGAATTGGAAAGTTGAGGCATTGAGCTGATGAAGAAGACAGGCAACAAGAGGCCGCAACCCTAAGAAGGCAAACATAAAACGCGACAAGACGAAGCAGTGCTGGGCAGTTGAGTTATGAGTTTGTACTGTTGTACAATGAAATAAGACTTGACGAAATTGCATGAAGACCTGCAAGATCTCAATAGATACATTTTATTTATACATAATACAATTTTACTTGAATACAGGATACAAATGAGATAAATACTAAATAATGATATACGAAGGATAAATACGAAGTTTATGTACACTATTTACAATTATTTATAGTACTTTCCTACATTAGGTAGGGAAGTTTGCGTCTCGTGCAATATGCGCCGCAAGCAGCCGTAGTTCGTTATCTTCTGGTAATATGATGTAATCAAATACCCTAAGTTTAAATGTGGCAACATACAAATTATATAAGGTATATCCAAATATGGCAACATTAGGATCCAATATGTTGTCTCTGTACCTCTGGGCAGCACATACAGATCTGTGTGTCCTACAAATATTTCCCATACAAGAATACTACCTCCTGCCTAGGTATCTCTTTACCATTTATTTGATGGAAGATACTAAATGCCTTCTTCTCTCCATAGGTAAACATGTTGAGAATTACTTGTTAAAGCAAAGTTTGCTTCGTCAGAACAGACAGTGAATAGAACAGACCTCTATTGTTTTTTCAGTCCAGTTTACATGACTATATGCCCAATTCATATGCTCTCTCAAGTGATGGAAGATAAGCAGGGATGCACAATATCTGTCACATATCATGCAGCCTTCTGTGTGCTGTTGTGGCTGAAACTGTCCTTCCTTTAGCAGAAATAAGTGCTGGGATTAAAATGTAGACTTGTTGCATATGCACTAAGTAGCAAATACCAATCATCTACAGCAGCGGTAGCTCTTGGCATACCTTCATCTTCAAGAGTCTGAACCAGTTGCTAGAAATTAGTTCCACAAGCAGTTTACCACAGAACAATCAATATTTAGCCATATTGCTGCATCAAATTGTCATTGACCTGCTTCTAATCAGACTATGAATCTACAATGCAATTCTGATGGCAAATGTCACCTTGAACTTATTTTTGTACTTTGGCTATCTCAAAATAATTTAACATATTATTGCTCACTAAATAGCAATGCCCTACTAAACAGATGGTTTTAAGCTGAATTGTATTTAAAGCAATTGTAATGCCATCCTTTTGCATCATGCTACTTGATGCAATTAGATTTTATTTGTAACATATTCAAATTTCAAGAATTTTGAACTATTTTTAGCTGATTTATCATGATTTTTTAGTTCATTGCTGAGCTTTTGGAAACCAGTGTATTTAAAAATAAAGATACTTTTATATAAATAAACATAATGCATAGCATAATACCTGTTCATAAAAAATAGTTTTAATTATGATTCATTAGTGTTACAAATACTATTCCGTAGTATTCCTTAGTTAACTGTATTCCATAGTTAACATTTTCCAGACTTTGTCTAATCTGTAATGTATAATGTGTTATTCAACACGAGGAAAAAAAAAAAAAAAAAAAAAAGGGCAAATTAAAATTACTTGTAGAATTTTTTAATTATTTCAATTAGAACAGCATATATTTAATTTTGCTTCTAATATCTAAAATTTGTTAATATTCAGGACAGTGTACTTCAGATTTTTTGGTACTTCCTTATTAAACGGCTCCCAAGATTGAATCGCTGATAAACCAAGGTAGCTCACCGCATGTACTTATATTAGCATCGTGTTTTATTTTTGCTAAGATTTTCAAATTCGCATTGATTTATTAAAAATATTCCTTACTTTTTTTGTGAATATGCGGTTAGCAACCTCTAATTTACCTAATAAAGAGGCGGATACCATATAATTTTTTTGAGAAAGAGGCCTTTTACCTGACAAATGAGTATGTGAAAATAGCCACAATAGGAAACTGCATGTTAATGATGAACTCATTTGGAGGTCTATTCCAGAATAGCACTGGTCACTGTTATTAGATTTATGTATTCTTGGGCAGAGGAGTGGAGCTAGGACTTTTTGCTGTAATTGTCTATAGCTATTAATACTGCATGATGTTATACATGTCAAAATGGTATCTAGCAAATCAATTTACTGTTTCACGGTAATGACAATTTTTTACCCCAGATCATTCATTTAAATTATTCAGATGAGATGAATATTCGATTTAATATAGCAAATTATAATCTGAATTGCTGCCCAACCGGCATAGTAGCATAGTAGCCAAGCTGGCTGCTATGCCGAAGGGAATCGGTTCGAATCCTGGAGAAAGTACTGATGTTTGTAAATGTATAGTGTCCGTGCGGCATGGGTGTACTCTAAATATGCGGCGAGTCGAAAGTTATCTCGAGAGGTTGGTGGTAGGTGAAGATGGGTGGGACACCCTCGGGCCCGTCGCCCCGGGGTGCTTTTCATTAAAATTTTGAGCGGAAATGAGCTAAACTGCACTGTCACTTGTAAGGTGCTCAAAAGCTGTTGCCAACAACAGGTTCATTCTTGCACTTGCATGAGGAATTTCGTTGGCTTGGGCTGACAAGTGAGCACTAGCAATAACAACAATAATAATCGGAATTTTTCAGTAATAAACAGTCAAATAAGCTAATAATGTATATTTATAAATTATTTGTAAAGCTTAAAGAGTTTTATCATTAACTGTATAGTTTTCAGTGATTTCCTTTGAAAGAAATGTATCTGTCATTTGATTTTAAAAGTTAAATGCAGCTGAATAAAAGTGCAACCATTTCGGAAAAAAAAAAAAAAAAAAAGGAAAAGAAACGAAATATTCCCCTGCAGTCTCTATTCATATTGTATTTAAGATATGTATTATATAAAACTGGTTTATATATTTATTTGAAATAAAGTTTATAAATATGTTATATTATCGTGAAATATCTTAGTTAAAATTTGACATTCTGCCAGAATTTTAATACATTAAATATAGCATAAAATTTTAATAACAAATAAACAAATTCATTACTATAAGAAAAATAATAAAATTCATTAATACAATTTATTTTTATCAAGAATTTTGAAATAATTCTTGACATATATGTTGATCAAATTCAATATTAAAGGTACTCTAGTTACATATTCATTCTTCTCATCAAATTTATTAATTATAATTTTCAATTTGTGCCTCCTGCACTTAATTAAAAAAATTACTTCAGCCTGTTTTAAGTAGCTTTTTTGATTTTTGGAAGTACTTGCATCTATAACAAATAATTTATTAATTATAATTTTCATTTTGTGCCTCCTGCACTTGTTTAAAAAAAATTACTTCAGCCTGTTTTAAGTAGCTCTTTTGATTTTTGGAAGTACTTGCATCTATAATACCACTTTTTTCATTTTTTAAAAAATAATCATTTCGCATTTTTAGACGGTAAACCCTTTGCATTTTACACCTCACATTACATCACATTTGTGCTTCATATCTACAGTATGCATACCTACAGTGCACCCCTCACAGTTTTAGCCATACTTACATTTAATACATGCTGCATTTTCCCAAACAACGTTTAATTGTTTCATATTCCTATTACATTAACTCTGTAAGAAAATGTAAATACATGAGATGCTTTCTTATGTACACTGGAATACTATTTAAGAAGAATTACTGATCAGAATAGCTTGACTTTCTATTCATTCTCAAAATACGCGTTAAAATATATATTTAATGCATAATTCAATGACTTTTGAACATTTTATCTAATACAAATGTATGTTGAAAAATAGTAATTAATCATATTGGTATTAATTCAGTCGTGTTTTAATTCTCTATATTTCCTTACAAGTTTTAAATTTAAATGCCTAGTTCTCTGTCATAAATATAGGTTTCATTACCAGATTATAGTCCTTGCTTAAATACAAAAGGGAAACGGTGGAATTATTTTTTACTTTTAGGCTATAAATCCAAAATATTTCTTGCCAACCGAACTTTTCTCTAATATTAATTCAAAATTTTCAAACAAAATAATTTTTAAAATGTATGCTTAAAACAATATTTTATCTTAAAAATATTTAAAATTTCTGATCTGATTATAAATTATCATCACCTTCACATAAAATAATTTCAGCTTTTTTTCCTAAAACTTACATTTTATTACATTTTTTTGTACCTTTTGCATAAATACATTCTGTTCAATTCAAACAAACATACTTTATTTGTTTTTATCTAAAACTACAATAAGTTACAAAGTGCCCATAAAATTTCTTCAGTAAAAATATCCTTTAAATTTTTATAAATGTTTAAGTCTTCAAAAAATTTTAACCACAAGTTTAAATATAAATATTAATTTATGTTTACACGCGAAAAACAGAAATGTAAAATACAAAAAAAAATTTTAGGATTATATGTTAATTCAAAAATGTTTCAGCAAAAATAGAATACCAACTACCTCTTAGAACTGTATGGTAACTCAAAGTAACAAAGATCTCTGAATTCTTGCACCTTGTTTTGAGTATCCTCATCTGAATTTCCATCATGTGAACTATAATCTGACAAGGATAAGCTACCACTTCCAGGACTTCTGGAATTCCTCGAATTAGTTATTCTTCTTGGTAGAAGTCTTTTCCTCTTTAGAAAAAATCGAGATTGCTTTCTTCTACTAGTTGGTCGGTGCATTACAGTTCTAAATAAGCGTGCACTAAAGAAAGGAAAATACTGGCAAGCATGCAAAATAAGAAATAAACTGCATTGTGGGTAAGAACATGCTAAAGGAAAATTTAGAAAAGTGCATTAAAAAAAGCATGCATTAAAAAAAATTATGATACTTAATTCAGGGATTGGAAATGAGCAAGAGATCGCACCAAATAAATTATAGCCAGATCTAAAATATTAAAAAATTTATATACATATATCTCTAACATTTCCAATAAAATTCAGGATGCTTTACTAAACAGAAATATATATGTAGAAGATTTTATTTTAAAACAATATTTATCCAGGATGAAATTTCCAGTGATATAAGCAGATGCATAGATGTTTTTGTGTTTTACTATTTATGTGATGTATACATAAATCAGGTACTTTATGGAGTTTTCTAATAAGGCAGGAAGAATTGTACTATGTACCATAATCAATTATTTAAGTCTTTTGAACAAATATATTTTCTACTTATCATTTGAACATAAAGAATATACTATAGTGCATATGCATCAATATGCGCCCATTTCTGTTTTTATACACTATAACTGATTCTTGAGAAAGAACAAAGTAAAACAATATTTTAAAACAATACAGTGCACGTGAAGAAATTATAGATATATAAAAAATAGCAGTTATAAAGAAATAGTGACTTATAAATTGTGGTTCATATCAATATCAACAACCATATGATTTAAATTTCAAGAAAAGTAACATTTTAGATAGATTTTGAATAAAACTCTGTTGATTTTCAAGGATGATTTGACTCTTGAAAGTCCCTCTTCTTTAGGGGGGAAAAAGAAGAGAAATTGTGAAATAGAAGAAGCATCAAATGTTTCTATATCAAACGCAGTGGATGAAACAACATGAACATGAATACAGTGCAATATGTTGAAGAAAACAATAATATGTAAAAAATAGTTTCTTTAGTAGATAGTACAGTTCAGACATAGTTAGGAAAAATGGATTGTAAGTAATGTCAGTTAAAGAAAATAAACTCTTTTGAATGTGAAAAGCTTTAAGGAAATCCAATGCAGATTTAATTACCAACTCATATAAAAATTTACTTACTTTATCCTATTCAGATTTACCTATGGTTAATTATAAAAAAGTACTAAACAGTTGTATTTGTTCATAATTTTATTTGACATGATTCAATTTAGTGATATAGATATTACATCAAATGCCATAAAACTTTGCTTTAAAATATAAAGTTTAACATCTTGAATTTTAGCATGCAAATTCCACAGAAAACATTTAACAATTCTGACATGATAATGTGAATAAGATTTTTGAGAAAATTCTGTTTGTAGAGGAAATGCATCAGATGGGTGTATGTGTATGTGTACACACACACACACACACACACACACACATATATATACATTTGAAATAAATGCATATACATATTTATAGAGAAACAGGGAGAACTAGATCTTATTTAATTATTTAAATGAAAAAGTTAGTAAAATTTTAGGTACTTATATAATATCTCTTCTACCATAAAACTGTTGTAATGCAATTAGTGCCAGTTATGGGTAAGAGTGATATCACATGACACTCACATCTGTGCTTTCCTTTGTTGTAAATCTGACTGATTCTTAATAAGCAGCTTCTGTTCTTAAGAACAAAGATATAAATTAACTAATACTGCTAGGTTTTCTTTTTCTTGAATTTTGAAAAAATAAGTTTTCAAGGACTTTAGACTCATGTATGTGATTGCTCTCCAGTTTATTTATGTATGTGATTGCTCTTCAGTTTATTTATACTTGACTGAAAGATTTATCATCTATTCAAAGGAGAAGAAAATAGCTGGATATGGTCAACAAAACAGCAGTAGATTGGAACAATCACTTGTGAGAAATGTGCACTCACAGCATTCTAAACAGTGCTTCTTATAAAATCAAAAGGCCTAACAAAATAGTAGAAATTGATTACAGCCTTTTTATGAATTGCAAAAACGAAGCCGGTCAAATAATTCAGAAGCAACGGCTATATGGGGTTTGTGCAGAGAGAATGATGAATATTTTATTGCAAGAGTTGCACAGAGAATTGCAGCTCAGATTTCTACAAGAACAACTGGCACAACTTTGGAGGGATCTTCACCAAATTTCATGGTTAGATGAGAGCCACCTTTCATGGTTAACAGGATAATACTAAATACTAGATTTATTAATAAATAGTTATAATATTAATGTCAATATAAAAATTTGTAGTACTTCACATTTTTATAAAATTAAATTAATGTTTTCACAAATAGTATTTTTAATTGAAAATTCCAATTTAAAAAAAAATTTATAGAACCATTTAAATCATCTCTTTTAATTTTTGATTTATTTTTACCATCAAACTGAAAGGATATAATTTTTTGAAGTTTCCAATCCCTGTTTAACAGTGTCAAAGAAATAAAAATTTAAAAAATTTCATGCTTTTTTAAGATTATGTATATACCATATACAACATGCAGTTAATTTAATAAGTTAATATTGAAGTAAATTAATAAAATAAAAGGCATAGTAAATTAGGAAACAGTTAAAATGAAGAACATAAACTGCTCTATTATTACAACAGATTTTAAAATACCTTTACTTAACTTGTTTTGTATGTGTGTTTGTCTGTTTTCAAATCTTAGAAATCAAAATTAATTCATGTCCAGTTATCCTACGCTAAATCATGTAATAAAAGAGTGGAGTGAGATTCTATAAAATTGTCCAAACATTTCAGATATTTTCATTGTACATTCAGTTCAAAATGTATGAAAAATGACAATTCTAAGACAATAAAAAAAATTAACCATTTTCATCAAAAATTAACTTGTAGTTAGCATAGGCAAAAATAAATAATAATATTAATAATATTTGCATATTTAAAAACTCACTGACTACTAAAAAATTATTGATTTAATAATAAGTACTGATATAATTCATTCATTAAAAAATTTAATAATTTTAATACATTTCACAAGATAAAGGTGTTTAGTTTTAAAAAATGTTTTTCACGCATTTTATTAGCCTTAAAAATAATTAAGTTTAAAAATATCTCACAACTGCTGAAATAAAAAATAAACTTATTTGTGAATAGCCGTATTGTAAGGATCCTAAGTTTTACTAACGTTTATTTTATTTTAAAACTACTATCACTTCTTATTTTCTACTTCCGGACAGAGTTAAATGCTTTAACTTGCTTATGCAAATTGTCTTGCTAACGCCCAAGTACTTAAGTTGTGGCTTTTTGCCAAGAAAGAGAGAGAAGGAGTTTTACGAAGCAAGCCGCTTTTCACTGTACTTTTTACGAGTTTTCACTCTGTTGCTTGTTGCCTTTAAGGCCAGAGGTTTAGCCCTCTTGATATTTGCAGACGTATCGTAGTTTTAGCAGCTTGGCGTACTACATACGTACCTTTTTTAAATAAAGGTCAGTCTTAGTGCTAGGCATTTGTATACTAATTCAATAAGTTAATAATAATAAGTTAGCTTTTAGTTAGAGTTTTAGTTAGTAGTTTTTATATTCTTACGTTCAGACCACAAGTGGTTGGTCTCTGTATTCCGAAGTTCGGAAATACCCGTTAGTATTGAAAATAAAGGGTTTCGTATACCCTTCCTGCTTGTGTTGTCTACTTCACACCTTCTTGAACATAGCTTGAGTAAGCTCCCTGTTTCTATTCCGGATCATTCATGTTTCCAACGCAAATAAAGAGAAACACAAGTCCTGACAGTATATGTCTCAAAGTTAAAATGCAATTATGTAAATTATGTAATATTAACTAAAAAATTACTCAAATTAATATCCAAAAATAACTAAAAAGCCAAAGGGAATCATATCTTGTTTGATTACTCATATACATTACATTATCATACTTGATACATTATTCTTTTATTTAAAATCAACTTCCCTTCTTCCCCCCCCCTTAAAATTGATAAACATTTTCAGAGATTTTTTCGCACATCATCATTACAGTTCATGCATTTAATAAGATCTTCAAGATTTAATTTACATTTTTAAAATGCAATTCTTAGGGCACACAGCAACAATAGGAAAAAAATATAATTTTAGAACAGTGAAATGCAATCTGATTTAATGGGAGACAAACGCACTATTCTGCGATGAATCTAAGATGGAATCCTATATTACAATGTAAATAAGTTCTCCTATTACATAACCTGCACAAAAGCATATTTTAATTTTTTTTTTCATTTCTAGCATCATTCATTTTTTTATAAAAATACATAAATATACATAAATGTAAGGAAATTACTGTCAACAAATATGTAAATTTTTAGCCCAAAAGGATTCTCACTATTAGTCTTGAAACCGGCATCTTGCATCAAATATCTAAAAGTGTTGAAACACTTTCCAAATCGTTGCCACCAAATATTATTACCCTGTATTATATTTAAAGAAGTTAACTAATGAAGAATCTGCATGAATGTATGTATGTTTCTTACATTGTTAAAAAGACGATGGTATCTATAGTCATATAATTTTCAATAATGTAGTCCTCCACCCAAATATAGACACTTGGAGAAGCCTGAATTTTGAATCTGTTTTATTATCTATTTCAAATTATGTAAAACTTTAACAAGTTTTTGATTAAAAACTCAATGATTTTAAAGTGAGTATTGTACAGACAATGCCGCCCTAACCACAGGGCTAAATGGGCTATAGCCCCAGGGCGCAAGCCTTTTGAGGCGGCCATTTTTTATTTGCGATATAGTAAAAATTTATTTTTCATTTTATTAGTTTTTACTTATTTTTAAATTAAAACACTTCTTAAAATATTAAACTGATTTTTATTTCTTCCAAATGTGCTGAAAAACGATAGATAGAGAAGGGCAACGCGAAATAGGAGTAACACCCTACCGATCATACTTTTGTTTCAGTCGCATTTGAACTGTCGGAGCTGTACTGGAGTTAATATAAGACCACCTACGTATACTCACCGCGTCGCCAGGGCATATTCATTTATCTAAACGTAAATTGTATTATTTTAACAATCCTGATAAA